CCAATATGATTATTATGACACCATAACACAGGCTCCACTCTCGTATTTACATTGTGACATCACATGCAAACACGAGTGAGATTTGCTTTGCAAAGTTGTCATGTGGATTTCATCTCTCTGTCACATACACACTGCTCTAGGGTTTTGTAAATTCCAGGAGACAAACATTTCATATCCTTTACAAACACTGCCACTTCTATGGAATAGCCATGCATGTGTGTGTTCAAATTAGTGCAGACTCCAGAAGTCCACCTGGGTGAGTCCCTGCTGTTTTCTTGGCAAGATTTTGGAAGTGGTTTGTCTCCTGAGGGGCTGAGAGAGAATGACCATCCCAGGATCACCCAGCTGGCTTTGTGCCTAAGTTGGGAGAAGAATTCACAGTTTCCAAGTTTCTAGCCTGGAACTTTTAACCACTGCCCCAAACTGGCTCTCATGGAATAGCCTTATCACTCTCCAAATGTAGCCACATGAATTTTTTCTTATATTGTGTTCACACAACATACTAAGACAGGTTGCCTTAATCATGATTAACTGGATAAATTACTGTACAATTTAAGCTACACCCCACGCTAAATCATAAACTATGGTTTGCAAACCACACTAAGTTTACTCGTCATGCAAAATCACAAAAGCCACTAACAGCTGTCCAATTGTCAGACTAATAGTTCATGGTTTTGTTCCTATCAGAAACAAGGGGGTGGCAACCTTTTCAGCTAACAATCAGTGACTTAAAGATGCATGTAGTAGTCAAGAGTCATTGTTTCTTTTCTTCAGCCTAGCCCTATGCAGAGACAGTGCTCCAGTTCACTATAGATCCATTTGATAATATAGATGACTGGGAGTTTGTGAGGTCCATTAATATAATCTAAGTCCAACAACAAAGTAATCGTATAAAGTTTACACACTGAATATGAGACAATTTTTCTATGTAATTATTAAAAAGGCCAAATGCAAATTTCAGATTGCATCAACAGAATTTTTTTTAAAAGATTTTTAAAAACTGAAGTGAACAGTTCACTTTATTTTACTTTGGGATACCCAGTCTCAAGTACTGAGTTCAGTTCTACCCATTGCACTAAAGATCCATAGAAATTGAAGCAGCAGAGAAGGGCAACAGGGATAAAAGGGAAATAGAATACAATCATTGAAGGCATTGGATATGTTTAGAGAAAAGACAACCAAAGAGGATTGGCTAGCCCTCTTCAAATATATTAAAGGGTATCAAACATAAAATGGCCAAGACGTGTCTCTATTTCAGAATGTCAGTCTTGGAAGAATGGATTTATGTTACAAGAAGATAAAATCTGTCTGAATGTAAGGAAAAACTTTCTTGCAGACAGAGCAATTTGACAGCTGAATATGTTACCTGGGAACAGCTGTGTTAAGGAGAGGCTAAAAATTCAGTGTTTCTCAACCTTGACAATTTTAAGGCATGTGGACTTCAATTCCCAGAATTCCACAGCCAGCATTGCTGGCTGTGGAATTCTGGGAGTTGAAGTCCACATGCCTTAAAATTGTCAAGGTTGAGAAACACTGGGCTAAATAGTTGTTTGGTTGTTGGGGCTTTGAACTCCTGCACCAAGTAAGCTGAACTCAACAGGCCCTTTTAATTCTATGATTTTATGAGGAACCTCCTAATACTGAACTACAGCAAATAACTAGCACAAACGTATTGCAATGTGCAAATATGAATTTTCCTTTCTCTATTAAAGATGCTCATAATAGTTTAAGAACATGCTGAAGTCTTTCTCTTTAAGATAAAAAAGAAAGAGTACAAGGAGATATTATGACCTGGAGTTAATGCAGGAGAAATGTCAGGCTGGCATAACACAAAGCACCTCTAATAATAAATACATTTTGGCATCTGTGCAATAATGGAAAGCAACACTGAATGCCTGTTTTCTGGGCTAGTGAATATCAGTTACTGTGTTCCAAATATACAATACTGTATAAACTGTAACTCCCAGGCAAGCAATAGACCACTATGTTGCTTCCTCTATGTTCTAATACGTCCTTTATTACTGAACGGCCCCTTTAAAAATTCCAGGATGCTCAGCTAGGGTGGCAGTGACAAGCAGATGCGATCCAATTACAGTCAGCATTTGCCATGAATGGCTTTGTGTGCGACTGATGGGAAGAGGACGGCAGCAACAAGTGCTGTGTGCAGACTGCAAGTCTCTGCTGCTGCTGCTGCTACTCTGAACTGCACCCACATCCAGGCAAGGGTGTGGCAAGAGAAGGCAAAGCAAGAGCTCCTGAGCTTTGGATGAGGAAGAAACTTGGGATCCTCAGGTAAAGGAGACTCAGCTGGCCTCAGTTCAGGCATCATTGCCAAAAGGGAGAAGAGAAGGCAGTGATAATAGGGCAGATCAGTTGTTGTATATTTCCATGATGGAGTGGTTAAAGGTGACTATATGAATTCTTTTCAATAGGCTCAATCCAAGAAGCCACATTTTTTGGGGGGGGAGGCAGTTTTGCTCTGTGACTAGGTAAGTGTCCACCATCTGTGCTGCTCTTGTTTTTGACACCATGGCTGAAACTCTGGGAGGAAGATGTAGGTGGAGACTGCAGCTAGATTTAGTGTCATATTTACATCCTGAAGCATATTAGGATTAGCAGCTTTCCCTGTTATGCTTAGAGCAGGGGTTGCCAATGTTTAATATTGTGACTCATGTACCTTTAATAGTTTGGGGAAAGACAGCAGATGTGCTGCTTGTCATGTCACAGTACTTCAAGGGTGTGAAAATCTGCCTTCCCCAGATAGCCTGAGGGCTGAAAGCTTCATCTTAGGCAATAGGTTACGGCAAGGTTGAAAAGGAGAAAGAAGCATTCTTAGAGAGACAGAGAGGATTCCCTCCTAGCCGAGAAATTTCTCCTATCACTACAACCAGCAGGATCCTATGAGCCACAGCTGATTGCATATAGGCAGTACCCATAAACCCAGATTTTTCCCACCCCAAATTGGTGGCTGTAGCTGATCTCCAAAATGGTCTATTTATATCACAGAATTCAAATGATTTTTCAATCAGCAAATTCCTTAGGGAAGTCTGGGGATTGCAGTTCTGTGACCAGCTTACTAAAGATCTTTTACAAAATTCTCTGCATCTATTCCAGAAGAAGCCATTACAGTTAAAATTGCATGGAACACATACAATTCTGTGGTCCTTTTTATGTTTTTTTTAGGCATCTTGGTGATGAGGCTAATTACTCTTGCCATCTTTGGCATATAATGTCAGTTTTTTAATAATTACTTTCAGTCATGTGCACTATTTATTTTGCCAATATTCTCAACTGTAAAAATTATGCCATCAACAGAAAAGGATTCAGATTATAAATTCCCCTGCCTAGGATCGGAGAACTTCAAAAAACATAACAGCAAAACAATCCCAGTACTAAGAGTGAGAGAAAGCAAATAAGGGTTTCTGATGAGTTTGTTTATAGCAGAAAAGTGGCAAAGAGAATAGATTCTTACCTTCTTTCACTCATCTCTTTTCCTTGCTAAAACTACTCTACCATGCTCTGAATGTCTCCACTCTCAGCAAGCAGATTCACTTCTGGGGTAGAATATGAAACAGGGTACAAGCAGAACTCCTTTCCAAAATGTCTCCATCTTAAGGTCAGAGAAACAAATGAAAACAGGATTCCCCAACTCCCTGTTTCTTTATCATGTTAAGCGCTCCCCACTCAATGCTTTTTTCTTGAAACTACAAACTTTTTTCCCAGTACAGTGAATCCAAACTGAACAGGCTTTTTCCCCCCTCCCTAGAAATTGTGACAATTGCACTATTAGCTCAGCTGACATAGATTGCAGAATATGGATTAAATAAAAGGAGTATGTTGTACTATACAGAAAACGTCTCCTCTTTTGATGAAAAAAAATCTTTGCAAAGAGAAGAGATTTTGGTGCAAATTCATGGGTGGAGTGTGATGCTCTTGCACTTAATTAAAAGTTAGTCTTTAGAATATAATGGAACCCCAAACAAACTCCTCAGATGGGCACTTCACTGCTGAAAGGTCTGAGGTGCTGAGCTTCCCCTTAGGCTGATGCAGCTGAGGGTAGATGAAATGAACAGGGCCCTGTGGTTGCTTCTCTTAAGTATGCAAGGTTCCTCACCTCCTTAGTCATCCAAGGTATTTCTCCTCCCCTCCCTCCTTAATCATTAGACTTAAGGTGAATCTCCTCTCATTTCCCATGCCATATGTAAGCTGCAAAGTTCTGGATGACCACCAGATGGCAGATAAATGAAGTTGTTTGTAACTTGTATCATATTTAATGCAGCAGCCCAGATAAGGAACTCTATGCTTATTCCTTTAAAGCAAAAAGGGAAAGGAGAATGAGGAGATTTAAAAAAGCAGTCAGCAGCAAGTGGTGGGACTCAGTGGGAATAGCCATGGAGTTTGCTGTGAGTAGCTGCCACTCCTAGCTTCACTTTATTTTTACCACTGATCTGCAATTTCCCTGGTTTCCGGTGTTTCTTTTAAATCCCAAGAGGGAATTATTTCCACTTGGATTTTTTTGTTTTTTTTTAGAATGGAATAGGGCAAACTCGGCTACTTCACAGTGATAAAAGCAAAATGCAATAACATCAGCACTAATATACTCCATCACCTTCAACAAGGAAATGATTGAAAAGGGGAGGGAGAAATGTCCCCGAGGATTTTGTCTTCAATCGAGAGAAAGGGAGAAAGGAGAAAGGAGAAAGGAAAGGAAAAGCCAATTAGTTACCTATCAGGGTTTTGTAACTGAAATGTGTAGTCGCAGATATTTGAGTCAACATTTGTTTGATCATAGATGGTATTTTTAATTTTTGTTTTGGAATTAGATGAAAATGTATTCATATTTCTGCCCCTGTAGAGATTACTTCCCCATATTTCTGTGCTCTGGAAAATGAGAAGAGTGAATTGATGGCTGTGACCCACCTGACTTCAGTGCAAATCAACCCACAGAGAGTCTGAAGAAACTCTTGTGGGCCCTCTTAGTTCAAAGGAGTGTGAAAAGAAACAAAAAAGACAAATTTTCTTTGCCTTAGCAACCATGCAGGACTCCCTATTACTGATTGGATGACCAGCATGTTTCTGGCAACTGAGACATCTTGGCCTGTGCTGTTCTTTTGCTCTCAAGCTCTCTTCTGCCTCTTCTTTTGCACCCCTTCCTGTTGTTGTACATCCTGTCCTGAACAGTGTCAATGCACCAATTATTCAGGAGCAACTGCTGTTCTGTGCAGTGCTAGCAACCTGGAGGAGATTCCAACAGATATTCCCAAAGATACCATGTTTCTGAAGCTGGATGCAAATAAGATTACTGCAGTTCCCAACAGCACTTTCAGGCATCTTGCCCACTTACAAGAAATAGATCTCTCCAAGAATGCCATTGAGAAGATTGATTCAGCAGCGTTTAAGGGTGTTGCTGATGGCCTGAGGTTGCTGGATCTCTCTGGCAATCACATACAGAGAATCCCAAAGGAAGCCCTGGTCAACTTGAATGCCATGATTCGCTTATCCAACAACCCTTGGCATTGTGAATGTACTTTGCAGGAAGTCTTGTGGGAAGTGAAACTGGACCCTGATTCAGTCAATGAGATCACCTGCCAAACATCTGTGCAAGAGGAATATGCTGGAAAACCTCTGCTCCACATCCTAGATTCAGGCATCAACTTTTGCAACATGCACCAGAAAACCACTGATGTTGCCATGTTTGTTACCATGTTCAGCTGGTTTACCTTGGTCATTAGCTATGTGGTATACTATGTCCGGCATAATCAGGAGGATACAAAGAAGCATCTGGAATACTTGAAGTCACTACCTAGCACAAGAGTTCCTAAAGAGACTATCAGCACAATCCTGTAGCCTGGAGTGCTACACAGCCTGTTTTCTAAAGAAGAAAATGTTGGATGAAATATAGAAAGTTTATTTCCTGCTAGTTCAGCCAGGACTTTTCTATTTTTTTTAAAAAGAACAAAATGTTTCATAAAAGGTAAAAAAATGTGTTGCCATTATAAATATAGTAAAAATGTCTAAACCACGTTTCCCTATGCTCTATGCCAGGGGTAGGCAACCTTGGCTCTTTAATGACTCATGGACTTCAAATCCCAGAATTCCTGAGCCAGCTGGCTCAGGAATTCTGGGAGTTGAAGTCCACGAGTCATAAAAGAGCCAAGGTTGCCTACCCCTGCTCTATGCTATTGTTATCGATAGTGGACCCAATAGAGAAAACATAAAAAGGTCTTTTTGGCAAGGAATTTGAATGGCACATGGTTTATTTTGGCTCCCTAAAATTCACAATTAAGATCTTATTCCAAGAGAGAAATCTAAAAGCCCTCAAATGGAGCAATATAATCCTGACAAATGTGCTCATGGTGCCAACAGAATATGTACATGGTTGACTTTTGCTTGATACTCTGAATGAAAAGACAAAACACTTTCTCCAAAGCTTACAGAAAGTTCTATCGCTAAATTCATAGATTTTGCAAACAAGGACCCATACAGTTTGATGTAATTTAATATGTAATATATATGTTTGTGTGTGTGATGCAAATCTAAAAAAGGATACACTTTATACTCCATCTAGACCCATACTTCTTCATTCTCCAACAGAGTAATAATGTGTTTTTAATTCCAGAAACATTATACTGCAAATATGGTGCAAGTAAAATGCAAGTAAAGGAAAGGGGAAAAAATGAGCATATGTTATAAAAGAAATAATGCTGAATAGATTCCCTTTAGGAAGATGGGGCAGATACACAATGATGAAATTGTCTATTTCTACATTTGCTTACTTTGTATTGCAAATGGTGGTTCAAAAGTGCAGCTGGTCTGGAGATTAATAAATTTGAAAAGGGAAAAAATGAATAATAATTTTAACTTGAGAAAAACCTAGCCCTGGCATCTGATAACAGTTTCTGAGAACCGAAATCTTCAGGCTAAGAAAAGATAATATAAGAATAAGCTAATAGAAAAAGTAAATAAGAAAGCTATAAAGAGCCCCTTCTTGAGGGAGACATGAAACATGAAATATGAATATAATAAATAATACATCAATAAAATATTAAATTGGAAATGCTTCTTTACTGATTTTAAGTTTCAAAATCTCTGTTAAAATAGATTCCCTGTAAATTTAGCAGATTTTGTTTGCAAAACAGGTTGAATCCAACCTATTCAGAATCTGGCAGACTTCAGTAAAGTAAGGTCAGTGCTGAAGAGAATCTACTGGCAGCAAATAAATTTGACAGCAACACTATAAAGTATTCACACACTGCACTAGGCTTAGAAACATGCTAGACTTGCTTTTTTGAAAACAGAGTTTCAAATTAAGTCTTTATCTGCATGGACCCAGTTGTTATGCATTTTAAGACTCTTGAGAATCTGTGTTTGTATCATTGATTCTCTGCTCTGCTGTTCTAGTGCGATAGCATTTCTTTCCAGCTGGCTACTTTTGGGAAAATGTATGTTCTCATAATGGAGAATATATATATCAGGGTTGAACTTTGGAGTCCTTGATGCTCTCTGAGTGTGGTTGTTTGCTTGTTGACATTTCATTATCTAACTAGGCAACATCAATCTGCGTAATGAAACAACTATGTAAGCAAACAACCATGTTCATAGAGCTCCAAGGACTCCACAATGTATGTTCTAATTACTTAACACACATAGATTTGTGCTGGATGCATTTGTTAGAAATCTTTATAACTATCCTGTAGGGTTGGTGCAGTACTACAGCTTCACTCACCCAAAGGGATCTGGAACATGTGGGAGCACAAATGTGGCATCATCAAGACCTTTTTCTTAGATCGTTTGTGATCTTGGAAAAATATGAAACTGCTGAAAGATGTTGAAAGGGACCACATTTGTAGTTCTGTGCATTCTTAACACTTTGTGGTGATCATATCTGAAGGCCCATCATGCAACAGCTGGTTAATCAACACTTTGACAAATTTCAGGACAGTTGGGGCCTTTTTTTTATTACTAGTTTTATACTACTGCTTATGTACCCATTTTTGTGCAGGATGCAAATGTTTTCTGGTAATATTTGAGTTATTCAGTCTGATGTTGAATCTCTTCTACCTTCTTCCTAATTCTCAGTGTAGAGTGTGGTTATGACATCTCTCATAATGAGCATCACAAATTCCTGCACCATTTTGTGAACTTAAAAAATACTGGTGGTTGTGCATCCATCTACTATGTAGTTTAATCCTAAAGAAGTCTTTCACTGTCATTTTTTTCTTTTAAACTGTTTTTAAAAATCAAAAAGGTTATTCTCTTGCTCTTCCTTTATTAAAAAGGTGCTATACAAACATTAAAAATCAATATCTGACAATCAAACTGACAATTTAATAAATATAGCCCATAAGGAAAAAGATGGAAGGAGGAGGGAGATGTTAAATTAAATACTAATTCTTCACATAGGACTCATAATTCCTACCTGTAGATCTTATTACCAAGAATTTTCCTGTGGGTTTCAAAATAATTATTGTAATTATAATTGTGACCTGCAGGAGGCCAATTTTTTCCCCAATAGAACATTTGCCTGTGTTGCCACCAGCTGGTCTTGTAAAGGAACAGATCTTTTTACTTTGGACTAAGAAACATGGCAGCACCTACTACACCCAATTTTATTTAATGGGGCTATTATATCTGGCCCGTAAAAATCTGTAAAACCACTATATGATAGCAAAAAGATACTCTTTGCTGCAATTTAGTGAAGTTCTGGATTTTTAAGCCCAGATAACATAGTCCTAGATTAATTATCAGCAATATTTTGCTTGTTTGGCATAAACTAAAGTGAGTTGGAAGAAGAGATTGGATGAAAGAGAAGAATTCAACATTTGCAATGGAAAATAAGGAAGAGGATAATGGTATATCAGTCTATGAGACAAAGGAGTTGTAACTATCATTTGCTCTGTTTTTCTTAAAGAAAAAGCTCATTCTTTTGCTTTGTATTCATATCAGTTACTACTGTATATTATCAAGTAGTTAGAAACAAAACCCAAAACTGCAACATTTGCGTGACTTTATATGGAAATAATACTATGAAGACAGACTTAGTGTAGAAGGGCAAGCACCTATTTCCTTCACTTGCTTGCCTTTTCCTTTTCTGCTCCATAGTGCAGATTTTACAGGATTATACCTGGATTGCAGCTTCATTATCTCTAGTCACATTGGCTGTTGAAAATATTTGGAATAAGTAGGAAAGGTTCCTTTGGATGGTGTTCTTACAAGTATCTCTTGGGTTACAACTACTCATTCAGTGTCTGTTCAAATTTACAATGGGACAATACAAGGTGAATTTATGACTGAGTACTGACCTTTTCAGTCTCCCTGCACTCATGTGATCAAGATCTGGGCACTCAGTGCCCAGCTCATAATTATGATATCACAGTAAGCCAAGGTTGTTTGATCATGATTTCCCACATTCTCTGCTGGTTTACCATACACAATTTCAGTGGGGAAGCCATCAGGAGGTCTCAAGTTGCTCCATTTCCTGCCATTTTTTCACTCACCCAGGCTTTGCAGCATCTGCCCACTGCACCCTCCCAGCCACCTGTGGCACCCCTACATCTGCCTGTACTCCACAGCATCTGCTTGCCTGGGACTCCTACTTCTTCCTCCTTAATGACCACATGGTCCTGCAGTTACAATGGCAACTAGGACTCCCAAGATTGCAGTCACTAAGTGATGCAGTCACCTGACATCAATCATCATTTAGTGACAGAAATTCCAGTCCCAATTGCTGTCTTAACTTGAGAACTACTTGCTCTAACAACATTTTTTTTCCTTAGCTCCACAGCCCATGAGTAAAACAGACGTAAGTCATTCTTAAGTGTATCAGTTTTTTAAAAGTAATAAATCCCCACTCAAACTGATACTTTATTGGAGCAAAAGCAGACAAAGTAGTTTAGAACAGCTCAGGCGCAGTCCTTATGTCAGACCCATCTCATATCTTTGCAGTGCTTTGATAAATACATTTTCCCCCTTTGGCTGGTGACATGAAGGGACATGATAAGGAGAAAACCCACCACCTTGCCTAGTGTAACCAGCTACAACAGTACCTCCAGCAAAAAAGAGACTATAGAGATAGAATAGGATTGGCAATAAGGAGAGAAAATGTTATGCTGGCATGGGAAAACCCTTTAGCGATTAAGGCTCCCTATTTTCATTGGGTTGTTTTGTTCTCTCTATCATACCCACAATTATTTCAGAATCCTTCATTTATTCCTTTTTTTATATCCCTCCTTTTATATCTTCTTGGCTTCTCACTGTTGTTTAATCTCAGGTCTGAGATTAAATGAGCAGCTGAGCTTCTGTGCAATGGCCTCCTATCCTGCATTGGTTCAATACCAACTGGAATGCCAAAAGAGACATGGGAGAGGTATAGAAGCAGATGACAGACTATGGTAGTTTTGTCAGCTTTCAGATCAAAGGGTGGCAGAGTGAGTAATCTAGCCTTCTTCAGCTTGGTACCTTCTAAATCAGGGGTAGTCAACCTTGGCTCTTTTATGACTCGTGGACTTCAACTCCCAGAATTCCTGAGCCAGCACAGGAATGGCTCAGGAATTCTGGGAGTTGAAGTCCACGAGTCATAAAAGAGCCAAGGTTGACTACCCCTGTTCTAAAAGGACAGTGACCAGCATTCCCAGCATTCCCACTTTGGCCAATAGACTTGAAAAAAATCTGAGTATTCCATTTTAACACATTCAGAAAGTACTAATTCGTTTATTCTATTGTGTTCATTTATATTGTCAAGGGATTATCAATTATTTTAAAGGAAGGAATCATTATTGATTAAAGAATTGTATTGGTCTACTACAAAGGTTGACAACACAGAACCTGCAGAAGGCAGAGCATTCACAATAACCTTAGGTGGTATCTGAGGAGTCAAAAACATGAAACATGTATTCTCTGTTTAAAAAGGACAAAAAGATTTCACATTGGTAAGATCACCAAATCTTCATGAGATGTTGGTATTCTGCACCAGATCCCCCAGGATGTAAGATTAAGCTTCATGAGTTTTCAAAGCTAAACATTCCAGACCTTTATGATATTTGGTGATCCAGTGAGATCAAGCAATGGTGCCCAGCACTTCAAAAGGTTATTTATACCAAGACATTTTAATTGAATGGCAAATGGAATGGGGGAGGGGAGTGTTTCCATGCAGTTTATCCCTGCCACCATGTCTTCATATGGTAGTTTGGGCTGACAGAAAGTGGCTGGCCCAGAGTAACCTACTAAGCTGTATACTGGATTGGGGACTTAAGCCCATGTATTCCTTTTCCAATTTCAGTATACTTCTTTCCAGAAATAGAAAAAAATATAACAGCATTCCTCATTGCACATGAAGGCAGACAGTCTAACCTGAATGCATAGGCTAGCAAACTCCAAGGCAAATAGAGAGCTGTCTTAGTGCATTTATTTCCTGTTCTATCTGGTGTTTTTGGTTTAATGCATATCCCACATCACATATATGAAATTCCATAATTTCACTATTTATTGTTTGAAGTAAATACAAGTATTGCAATGAATTCTTTTCTCACTTTGCTTTACTTTTTATAAATGTCTAGTTGAAGCCAGGCTGGATAACTTCAATTCTCAAATTATGGGAGCTCAGACATTGTAGCTGTAGTTAGATTTCATATGAGATGAAGTTTGAATGCAAATAAGCACTGACACAGCACCTCTGAGATGGTGCAAATCACTCTATTTTATTAGGAACTGCTTTCAATACTGTAAATTTTATCCCAGTAATAAATAATTCCACCTCCATATAACAAATGTGACTGTCATCAATTTACATATAATATTTTGTGAATGAATACATTTTGAGCAGCAAATAGAAGCTTTACTATTCACAAACTAACATGGGAAAATAAACTAAGAAAATGTCAATCAACTAGGAATGGAGTTTATTGCAGAGATATCATCAATCTATATAAAAGTTCTGGGCTTTCCTGATGTCCCCAGGTGAAAAAGTTCAGAAGCATTATTTCCTAAAGCTTAAAATAGAAACTTTTAAACAATATTGGCTTTTATTTCCTTTAAACTCTGCTACAAAACTGGAGAATACAAACCTGAAAGACTCATAATAAATCCAAGACTTTTTGTAAAGACACAGCCCTTCTACAATAAGGAATATATGTCATGCAATCTAGGGCATCCAGTAATACAGTAAAGGAGTAACTGAATTTTGAATTTTCTCAGTAAGGCTCAGAATTTTTTTTCCTTGAAACCCTGAGATTCAAAACTGGAAATTGCTTAAAAAAAATATCTCAAAAGCAATTGGGCCTTTGTGATCCCATGAATCTGATATATTACAGATTTTCATATTTTAAGAAACTTCTAGCAATTTCTCCTAGGATCTACATCAGAATTCTTCTCATGACAACGAGTGTGTTGCTGGAATAGACTGACATATACAGTATAAATATGTTGCATTCCTATGCTCTTCCCATAATGTCACAGTAGTTGATATTCAGACTTGGAAGAGGTCAGCAAAAATTCATATACCCAAACATTTTCAGTAGGAGATAGATGACAAATAGATGCCTTTTCTGTTCTACTGTCCTACTTCAGAAGCAATGCATGCTCAGGTATGCCTAATGGCATGAATTATATTGGCAGCTTTTTAGGATAGGGATGATGTTCATAAATATACTTGGGACAGGGTAGATTAAGTGAACCAAAGTTTCTGAATTCACAAATATCTTTGGCCAGCTCAAATGTACAGTCATGCAATTTAGCTTAATAGCAGAAAGGATCTGTTAAAATCTAATTTCCAACAGCCTCCTACTCAACTAGCTGAGTAGCTCCAGAATAATCTCTCTTTCTTATATTGGCTGTATTAATTGAAGTATAACAAATTTCATTATAGCTTTGAATAACTAAAACAATTCCTCCCAAGTCCATGCTCTCTGCTTATGGCAGGAAACTCAAGAATCTCCATTCAGGTCAAAAAATTTTCAGCTTCAGCACCTTGGAGAGGGGTTCTTTCGCACTTGAATACATGAGGTAAGAACCAGCTGTAGTGTTGAAGGCTTCCCAATCCCTACAGCCAAATGTTGGAAGATGGTGAACTGCTACGAAACCTTCATATCCTTGCCATCTGCAGTGCAGACAAAATAGTTACTCAGTTTGTAATTTTCAGTTCATAAAATCTATTCTTCCAGTACATACAGTTGTTTTCTTACTGTGGAAATGAAGTGGAGAAACATTCCTTTCATGTCAACTCAGAGAACCTACAAGTCAGTTTCCTCAACCTGATATTCCCCAGATGTACTGAGAAATACTCAGTTCCCAAATTCTGAAACAAAATGGCCCAATAGCCAGGTGGCTGGGAACTTTAGGAGTCCAAGCAATATATTGGAAAAGTCTGACTTCTAATATGTAATAGATCACAAATAGGCAATTTGCTGTTTTCCAGATGATTATGACTACAACACAATGCTTTGGGTTTGGGCTATACTGATTGGAGTTGTCCAAAATGTCTAGAAGACATCATAATGACTATTCTTGATATACAGTAGATATTTAGTATATCTACTAGCAGTGTATTATTCATTCAAGATAGGTTTTATTATCATACAGATAATTCAAATATGGAATTACTTAAACCAAATTTCCTCAGGCTGGGCTCTCAGGTGTTTGCTAGCCTCCAGCAACTCTTATCATCTGTATCCATTTCTTACTGAATAACTACTGAACTTTTTTTTTCCGAGTACAGGACTTCCCACTTGAATACCAAACTCCCTCTCTACAGGGACATAGGGAAAGAGATTTATGTTAATAAAGCTACAGAACAGGTGTAATCGATCAAAATGCATACACAGCCCATTACCTCAAATCTCTCAGCGCAAAGGAATATGAATGCCACATTACATTGTGTTTGCATGTATTGAGCCTTACATGACTTCTACCCCTCTTTTTGGAGAGGTGGGTTTTTGTATTTTTTACCCAGTGTACTGTATATCCTGGATAGGGTTTTCAGTTTCACTGACCACTGGAAGGCAGATATTACAAGACCGTTTTCTTCTTTAGGGACTCATCAGACTTAGGTAACCAACTGTTCTTCTGTGAGGTTCAAACCAGCTGTTATTCTATGGGGTTCAATTCCCAGTAGAAGATTTGAATGGACAAGTAGAAAGTGTGGGTCAGCCCAATGTGTGGGGATTTTTTTTCCTTCTTCCCTTCCCTTGAATAGTTAGTTCACCAATGTAAGTGTTTCTGATATGGATTCTACTGCACAATCTGGAGGACAGACCTGCACTGAACTACATGTGCAACACCCATCAGTTACAGCACCCATCTTCCCACCTAAAATCTATTTGCAGAAGCCAACATAATGTGCGTGTGTGTACACAGAGACAGAATGAAGAATATCAAATGTAACACTTTTATTTTTAAAAAGTGAAAAAGGAAAAACTTAACCTTTTGCTTACTAGATAAAGAGCTTGGATGCATGAGCCAGGGTTTAGTTTCTGTTCTGAAAAAATGAGTTTTCAAAAGTAATTTTAAAAAGCTTTTCATGTAGGTACAACAAGAGGAAGTAATTTATAAGGGAAATTTCAGGAACAGCTAAACATCAGATCTGTTCCAATGACCTAGTTGTTTTAATCTGGATGTTTGCTATTTAGCCTCAAGAATAGAGGGTGACAGAACAGTAATCTTCAGTATAGCCTTTCTTCCTATAAAGATTAACATAATAATAGGGATTCAATCATTTTTATTTTATTTTTGTCCTTTTATATGTCCTAATATATGCAAATGACAAAACTGAGGCATTTCCTCTTTATTACTTACCTGTAAATAATACTGTTTACAGAGAAGGTCACACCATCATAGGAATTTGCAACAACCAGAAAGCTGTCTTCTCCCACTGAAAAGAATTCCCAGTCTAAAGCACTGTGACATGAACAAACCAAATAGGAAAATATTGCAAAAGTCAGAGAATCAGTGATGAACACACCCTGTTTCCTTTTATATTAGTACGGGGTGTGGGTGTGGGTGTGGGTGTGGGGGAGAGGCAGCATATACCATAATTTTCTGAGATCAGGATAATTTCTGAAAATGAAAATGTTAATGAAGAGAAGGACGAGGGGGGACATGATAGCAGTGTTCCAATATCTCAGGGGTTGCCACAAAGAAGAGGGAGTCAAGCTATTTTCCAAGGTGCCTGAGGGCAGGACAAGGAGCAATGGGTGGAAACTAACCAAAGAGAGAAACAACCTAGAACTAAGGAGAAACTTCCTGACAGTTAGAACAATTAACCAGTGGAACAACCTGCCTCCAGAAGCGGTGAATGCTCCAACACTGGAAGTTTTTAAGAAGAGACTGGACAGCCATTTGTCTGAAATGGTATAGAGTTTCCTGCCTGAGCAGGGGGTTGGACTAGATGACCTCCAAGGTCCCTTCCAACTTTATTATTATTATTATTATTATTATTATTANTAATAATAATAATAATAATAATAATAATAATAATAATGTTTCTATTATATATTTCTACTGGCAAGACCAATTTAAGACAATATTCTAGATGTATTTTTAGAATATGAAAACAAACTCAAACATTCCTGAATATATTTTTCTACTAGAAGAACCCCATGCTGATGTTTTGAGCAATACTCAGAAAAAGCACCTGTATGTAGGGATGTCCTGAAACTTGACAAACAGCTGTGCTGTGATATTAAGCTCATAGATGGAAGAATTAATGGCAAACGTGTTGATCGGTGGTACAGTGCTACTGTCGTAACCATGACTGTTTGCCACAGCAAGAAAGACTCTGCTTCCGATGTAAAAAACCTCCCAGTCAGCAGCACCAAAAGTCTAGAAAAAGGGAGGAGGAAAAAAAGAAAATACTTTCAGTGAGTCACATCTGTACAAGGATATATTTTATAATCTGACCCAGTATGGGGAAGAGATGTCTAGAGGATTTGCCTTTCTCTCCAAAAATCAATTTGGCATACTAGGCTAACTAACTATAAGCTTCAATTAACAGCTTGTACAAATGTTACATTTTTTTAAAAGGTAATCCCCAGATTATTTGACTGTAAAGGGAACAGATGTTTTTCCTTCAGGCTGTTTTTCTATTATTGAACATCTGTTGCAATTGACCCACAAACTTATATTTCATGATAAGGAGTAACCAACAGGAAAATGTTATCTGTGAAGAAGTTGAAAAATCTTTCTAGCTGAACTCAGTTTCCGGATAAAACATGTCTTTCTTGGCCTGTGGCTTTCTCAACAATAATCTGCCACTGGTTTACTTTTGGCATTTTTAAAAAAGTTTCTCAGTCTAGTGCAGAACCTTGTGATTTGCTAACCTCCATCCAACCAGAGCTGATTCTATTTAACTTTTTTGAGATGAGGGTGCTGTCACTTTTTAAGAATAGTCACTTAAATTCAACTTGATTCATGATGAATCCATCATATGTTCTAAACCAGGGGTAGTCAACCTTGGCTCTTTTATGACTCGTGGACTTCAACTCCCAGAATTCCTGAGCCAGCTGTGCTGGCTCAGGAATTCTGGAAGTTGAAGTCCACGAGTCATAAAAGAGCCAAGGTTGACTACCCCTGTTCTAAACATATTAATATTTTTTTCTTCAAATATATTATAAATGTGGTTTGCCAGCCTTTCTCCTTCACTTCTGAATCATATCTGGATAATTTATTTTGTTTAGGACTGAAATTTCCCATTTTATTCTATCAAAGATTTACAACAATTTATAATTAAAAACAGTTAAAACACAAGAAGTAATTACAATAATTAAATCTAACTGCAGTTATAATAATTGGATAGAACTTTATTAACCAAGCTAATGCACAATAGTTAACATCGCAAATAATAATGATGGCAAAAAGTGTTAAGCACAACAGATTCTCTGGAAGAGTGGAAGCTTTTTCATGGTATTGGGAGCATAACTAGAAACAGTGGCCTAAGGCCTCCTAGCCTTCCCTGAGAGATAGGTTGGATCACTGCAGATCAGAACGGACCACTTGCAAATATGGAAGATAAATAGGTCCAAAACAGCACTTTGAATTGTACTGAAAATTTATTGATAAGAAGTACAGTATCCACATATTATATATTTCTAGTGGCCAGGACCTGCCAGTAAGCTAATCGTTGCATTTTATACCATTCTGTTTCACAATGGTTTCAAAGTCAGTCCCATAAAAGAGTGCATTACACTAATCTAAATACACGAGTTATAATCACAAATTTCTCCACTCCAGAACAAACTACAGCTAGCACGCCAATCACAGCAAACAAAAGACCATCCTGGCCTCAAGTTTCCATCTGGAACACAGAAGTAAATGTGAATTCAGGAGGACACCCAAGTTGCAGACCTACTACCGCAAGAGTAGCACTTCCTCCCTTAGCAACATCTTTGGAACTGACTGAGAATCACGGTGGACTAACACTAACTCCATCTTGTTTTGATTCATCTTCAACATGTTCTGTTCATCCAACAGCCTCCAGACACTAGGAAAAGACTTCCACACAAACACCAGCCTAGCCATCAACCTAAGAAGATCAGTGTAGTGAAAGAGGACAAAGTGGTAGGGCACTTTTTCAAGCAATTAAACCACGCTTGCTACTTTAACTCACATTTTCATCTACATAAACTTAGCTTATTCTATGTGTACATAGAATTATAATCACATGGTTTTCTGTATGCAACAGTATTCAATTCCAACTTATCTTTTACAGATATATTCATTCATTTAATTTAATAAACTAGTTACAAATTGTGATTCATAAATAAAGGGCTCCCCAGATAGCCAGTATTTTTTAAAAACATTGCCATATGAAACAAATAATTTGAAAACATAAAATTTACCTATCTTTAAAATAGGTGGGTAAACAAATAATCTTTAAAAATGGAATATAAAAAAGTTAAAAAACAAAAAAAATTAATTGCCTATCTAAAGCTAAGCAAAGGTGTTGATGGGGGGAAATCTGACTTTCTTATGGAGGTGACATTGAACAGAACTTGGCAGAAGCAAATAGAAACAGCCTAAAGGATAGAGCTCTTGTTCTCTATCTACAATCACATTCCCCAGTATGCATATTTACGTACAATGGATAAAAAATTAATTGCTTGATCAGGACCTTGCCTAAGCATTTAAAGAAATTGGTTTTCCCATTGTTATATCTTACCGAGATTGACTGGAAAAGCTGGAAACCTCCATTGAGCCAAATGTAGATGTTAGAGTAGATCTTGGTTGATGTTCCATTGAATGTATTGGCTACTACCAGAAAGGAATAAGGGCCAATAGTGAAAAATTCCCAGTCATAGGCACCTGAGGTAGGAATAGTCTGATTGGCTTCAAAAAGCCCTTTTCTAGAGTTCCACCTATATATGACACTATTGATATTGTGGTTATCTCCTAGAGAAGAGAAAGGAAAGGATAATGTGAATGGATGTGGTATAGAAACATGGTAAGACAGAAGGAGATGAAAGATGCACAAACATAAAACTACACTGATATTAGAGATGTTTATTACTAACTTCATTTAATTTGAGTTTTTAAATTAATTTGATGAGGAAAGCCAAGTCAGAACTTGGAAATGAAAAAGAAAAAGAAAAAAAGAAGAATGATACATGTAATAAAGACAATGCCGTACTCTTAAATGAAAAGCCAGAATGAATCTTGGTTACTTTTAAAAGCATAGTTTCAGCTTCTCTTCCATTTGCTCACAGATTTAAATTAGCCAAAGATATCTAAGTTGTGACTTAGTAACAAACCATAAATTTAAATGTGTAAGTGAACAATTAGATCTGGTCTCCAGAGCCAGTGGCCAAAGAGAAGAAGGAAGAAGGAAAGAGGAACCAGACAAGTCTGAGTTATGGGAACATGATGTTAATTCAGTCAGTATAGAACAATGTGTTTCCAAGTGAAATACCATTCTTTGTGGACAACTGTTCTAGTAACTTTGTAAACTAAGTACTAATTTGAAAGTGGAAATGTTATTTTTGTCTCCCAAGCATACAGTGGTTTGCAAGGAAAAAGGAACATGAGTGACAGGGGAAAGGGAAAAAAAGTGGCATGCAAGGATTAGAGTTAAAACAAAAAAATAATAATCATTTTCCCCAACTTATTTATTTCTGTAAAAATGATGGGGATAAAAGCTAGTACCTGACTGATATGTTAATTTTATTTTCACATCATCCTTGCTTACTTCACACACACACACACACACACACACACACACACACACACACACACACACACGAAGTAAGCAAGGATGAGGTGAAAATAAAATTAACACACACACACACACACACACACACATATATAATATATATATCACATAAATCTATTTAGAAGACATTAGAATTCCTTCTATATGACAATATTATCTCAGCAGACCACTTGATGGCAGTACATTCTTATTTCAGAGATCAGATAGTTCCATAAACAAAATCTTTCTTTTGTTTCAAATTGGTTCTACTTATATTCCAAACAAATGTATTCCAAACGAATTAGACAAACTGATGGATAGTAAAGCTGCCAGTGACTATAAATCATGACTATTATATGTTACCCCCAGAATCAGATACTAAGTTTCTGAATGCTGCCTTATAAAGTAGGATTTTGTTTTCTTCTGTTCAGTCGCATCAGAGACTGCCAGGACCAAGATTCTTCAGAAGTGATTTGCCATTGCCTCCTTCCTAGGCTGAGAGAAAGTGACTGGCCTAGGGTCACCCAGCTGGCTTTATGACCAAAGCAGAACTAGAACTCACGGTCTCCAGTTTCTAGTCTGAATCTTAACTACTGTGCCAAGCTAGCTCTCAGGTTAAGATAGAAAGACATAAATATAGTAAAATCCTAACTCAATGTACTATTTATCTATTTATTTAAATCTCAATGTTTGCTAAAAAAAAAACAAAAACCCCCAAGGATATCTTATTTGCATCCTTTTTCATCATTTGAATGATAATAGTATTATCAATAGTAATCAATCCACTGCATGATGAAGGCCTTTTTACTGAAGAGTATGGACTATAATTTACCATACTAGCCCAGTACAGATTGCTAGATGGCTGTTTTTTTTACAAGCCATTCAGTCTGGTATTCTATTATTGCCTCCCCATGTAGTTATAAACTTTAAAGGCTCAAATCTTATGCCAATAAAAATGGCAAAATTCCAGTCATAAGAAGTGTCAATGAAAAAAGAAAGAAACTTTGCATGTGCAGATTAAACACTAGTATTCAGATACCTTTTCTGTGATTAGCCACTGCAAGAAAGGTCTCGCCATCAATGACAAATGCCTCCCAATCCCTAGCACTGTGAGTGACAATCCTCTGGAACACAGTAAATTTCTCTTTTCTGTAGTTCCATTTATAAATTACAGAAAACTCATGACCCCTTGGATTCTGATCAAGATTAGCCACTACAAGGAAAAGCTGAAAAGCAAAGAAGCAGCAATTTAGACATTCATTTTGCACAGAACAATCACAAGCACAAAAATTGTAGACTTAGTTCTTAACATAATATGAATTTGCCTTGCAACAACATAGCAAGAGATGCATTTAAGGCTACATATCATTTTTATCTGAATTGGGTTAAGTCATTGTTTTGTTATAAGATTCACTAGATATCTGCATCAAATCAGGGATTCTCCAAAGTAGGCCAAATATGAATATGAATTCTCCAACAATGCTTTGTTGGCAATGGCATCATAGATACAGTATTTGGAAAAACAGGGAGACAGACCAGCTATATTTGCAAACAACTTCATCTTAAGTTTCCCTTACATCATAATTACACTGTTATGAAATAAGCATGTAAACTTTATAGTTACAATTTAAATGGAACAGTTTCTGAACCAAATATATTTTAAGTGGAGGAACACATGAATACATAAACTATTTCATACACTCTAAGATACACAATTTAATAAAACAGAAAAAAAATCTCTAATAAGCTTTTTCTAATACTCAGGAAATATGGCTCAGGCATATGCTTAGCCCAGCCCCACCCATTTAGACCAGGCCCCACCCCTTCCCATATGTCATGTCTTACTCCTGGCCACCAAAAGATTGTTCCTCCCTATTCTTGATTTTGGCTGAAATCAGAATGGGTGCACCGACATTTGATTTTTTTTTTCTGATTCCTTTTTATTAAAGCTCCCCACTCAACAAAATAATAGTTTGAAAATTAAGCAGAACAGGGTTTTCCAGCATCTATTGCTTCACTTCTTATTTTAATAGTAGCCGGCTATCCTTCAGGTAATATTCTCAGACTCTCTCACAATCCAATAACAAACACAGATGGCAGTAAGGCAAACCGAAGTAGGTAATGAAGCAATCAAGCAGAGGCAGTTTTAGAATAATCTTACAACTTGTCCACCCAACTGAGGCTGCAGACCAGTTCACCTTGCTAAAAGATGGAAACGATGGAGTGTGTATCCAACACATCTGGCAAACATTGGACAAGGTGGATGCTCAAACATACATTTTCTTAGAAGAAAAATGCTATTTATTTGTATCGGCAGTCCTCAACTTCCAACCATTCATTTAGCGACAAGCAAAGTCAATGAGGTAAGCTGAATTCACTTAATGACCACATGATTCACTTAATGACTGCAGTGGGTTCACTTAATAGCCCTGGCAAAAAGATCATAAAATTAGACATGACTCATTTAACAACTGCCTTGCTTAGCAACAGAAATTCTGGCCTTAATTATGGTAGTAAGTTGAGGATCACCTGCATATATTTTTTTTAGATTTTAATGTTCATTTCTAGCCAAGAGCTCAGAGTCTCTTCATTTTATTCTCATAGTTGTTTTTTAAAAAAATAGGAGTTTTCTGAATAGGCCATAGATTTGTTTCTACTAACCAATCTTTAACAGTGCTTATTTTTTTAGTTCTTTCTACTGCATCAGTTTAGTACTACACCCTTCTGAATAATGATCCTGAACATCTTCAATAAGTTTGTCATAAAAATTACGACAACTTGTTGCAATTGTCTTCCATCACAGAAAATGCAACTCCTATGCTGTCTAGCTTTGGAAAAATTATTCAGCAACAGATTTGATTAACTCAAATAAAAGAATACTTAATTTAAAATAAAAGAATACATAATTTACACTGTACCTTTTTTCCCACACTGAAGAATTCCCAGGACTGAGCTTGGTAGGTGGGGATATTTTGGTAAGGCACAAATTTTTCATCAATCCATTTGTAAATGGCTGATCCAGGAGGAGTGAAGCGATTAGCAGTAGCTACAAAAAGACCCACCTTAGGGATGACAAATATCTCAATGCCCAAAGTTTCGGAATTTGTAGCTAATCTCTGGTATTCTTCCAAATAGTCCAATCTTTCTTCAACTAGAAAATGACAAGAGAGAAGGAAACCAATTGTCACTATCAAGGGACTGCTACAGAGATGATGATCCAGCAGAATAATTATTCCTGGCCATCTACAATTCTTCTTTCACTATCCCTGTATCTTGGTCTTAAATTCTCTTTCAAACGTGTTCACTAGTCCTGTCTGATCTTATTCAAAATTAATCAATCCAAATAAATATTTATCCACTCTACTCATAGGATCATACCACATCATATAAACTTTGTTGAAACTAGTTATGGCAAAAATAATATAGAATAGAATAGAATAGAATAGAATAGAATAGAATAGAATAGAATAGAATAGAATAGAATAGAATAGAGCTGGAAGGGACCTTGGAGGTCTTCTAGTCCAGCCGCCTGCTCAAGCAGGAGAACCTATACCATTCCAGACAAGTGACTATCTAGTCTCTTTTTAAAAACTTCCAGTGATGGAGTGCCCACGATTTCTGAAGGCAAGCTGTTCTACTGGTTAATTATCCTTACTGTCAGGAAGTTTCTCCTTAATTCCAGGTTGCTTCTCTCTTTGGTCAGTTTCCAACCATTGTTTCTTGTCCTGCCCTCTGGTGCTTTGATGAATAACGTGACCCCCTCTTCTTTGTGGCAGCTTCTCAAATACTGGAATACTGCTATCATGTCACCCCTATTTCTTCTTTTTTTAGACTAGTCAAACCCAAGTCCTGCAGCCATTCTTCATATGTTTTAGTCTCCAGGCCTTTGATCATTTTAGTTGCTCTTCTCTGAACTTTTTCCAAAGTTTCAACATTTTTTTTATAGTATGGTGACCAAAATTGCAGTATTTCAGGTGTGGTCTTACTATGATTTTATAAAGCAGTACCAATACTTCGCATGATCTTGATTCTATGCCTCTGTTTATACAACCCTGGATTGTATTAGCTTTTTTGGCTGCTGCTACACATTGCTGGGTCATAGTCAAGTGATTGTCCACTAGAACTCCAAGGTCCCTCTCACAGTTACTGTTTTTGAGCCAGGTGTCACCTAATCTGTACTTATATCTTTGATTTTTCCTGCCTAAATGTAAAACTTTGCTTTTCTTCACATTAAAATTCATTTTGTTGGATAGGGCCCATTGTTCAAATTTGTCAAGACCTTTTTGGATCCTGAGCTTGTCTTCTGAGGTCTTGGCTATTCCTGCCAGTTTAATGTCATCTGCAAATTTGATGAGTTCCCCTTCTATTCCCTCATCTAAGTCATTTATGAAGATATTAAAGAGTACTGGGCCTAAGACAGAGCCTTGTGGTACGCCACTGCTTACTTCTCTCCGTGTGGATGTAGTGCCATTGAAGACTACTCGCTGAGTACAGTTTGTCAGCCAGCTACAGATCCATCTGGTGGTGATGTTATCTATCCCACCTTTTTCTAGCTTACTAAGCAGCAGGTTGTGGTCTACTTTATCAAATGCCTTACTGAAATCTAAGCATACTATGTCCGCAGCGTTCGCTGGTCTACTAATTTAGTCACTTTATCAAAAAATAAAATAAGATTGGTTTGGCATGATCTGTTTTTAACAAACCCGTGCTGGCTGCTGGTTATAACTATTTCAGCAGAGTTTCTTATTGTCTTATTAATGCAATTTCTAAGCGGTTTATTTCCACTGCAAAAAAATCTTCTATTTTTCTATGTTATACTCAGGGTGCAGGATCATTTCATTTGAATTTTCTCCATGTTGCTTTTTGCTGGAATTTATATAAAATAACAAACAAGGGAATTAGGTTTGGGGATTTCAAGGAAAATATTTACATTCCATAAACCAGTATTATTAAAAGTTTGAAGCATCCATAGCTCAACAATATCCAGAAAGCATTCACCTTCTAGCATGGAAATCCATTCATTCCCAGTACAAATATGCAGTCCTTTCTGAATGATGTTTAACCAGAATTGGCCACTTTCAGTCTTGGTGCAAGGAGGGCGGGAACCCAAAGTCAGCTTCATGTCTGCTTCTGAACAACAACAAAAATCAAATGTGATCAGATCAAGATTTGCTCTGACTTTGTAAGAAATGTTATCATGGTGTGAGACTACCTATTGCATATCATAAAACCAGAATATATCACTTTACAATCTTATTCACATTTAAATATAAATATACTTTTCAGAGAACACTTTTGTGGTATGTCTACAAATAAATGAAATAACTCTGAATGCTCTGGAGATATATTTAAAAAAAATAAAAATTAGTTTTATTCTCTTCTTATGTATCATCTGCATATTGGGCTAGACTTAGCAATCTTTAGACCTATTGATTTTAGAATATTTACTGGTATAGGTAACGCAAAAGTTTTTCTACTAAGCATTATTAAGAATCTATACAGATTTAAGATAATGTTTTCTTTTCTGCTGCTTGGTTTGCTGCTGGCAATTGTAATATACCTTAACTAGTATAGCTGCTGTAATGACGTATCTGCTTCAATAACATATATCTTTTGGTCTTCTGAACTTTAGTAAACAAGAATTAGTTTAACATTCAATTGTATATTTTTTTAAAAAATAAGAGAGTAAGAGAGAGAGCTCAGATTTGCAATATCTGTAGCTCGGGCATAGGATGAGGGTGAAAGTTGGTTCTCCGACCTTGAGGGTTGGTTTCTGAACATTTCATTACCAGGAGAGGTAACATCTTCAGCAGTTTAGATGTTACCTAGCCTGGTAATGAAATGTTCGGAAACCAACCCTCAAGCTCGGAGAACCAACCTTCACCCTCATCAAATAGATTTCCCCACCAGAGGATGGAGGTTTCAATTCTCCTGAGCAAATACTAGTGTAATTCTTTCTGATGTAGGTATACATGTCAAAATAATTGATTTTGAGAATATTTGGATGACCTATCATTCATAATTCTGCATTGCCCTTTGAACTAATGACTTCAATAAAGGTTGGACTAAGTATAGTATTTAAAGTCACGTTCTCTCAACATATAGAACCACTAATAAATCAAGCATGAGCTAGTCTAAAATTCTGTTTAAACTCAAACTATATCCTACAAGCTAGAAAAGAAACTACAGTAAACCATATAAATTATATCATATGAATATAACCAATATGAATATAGGTTTTAGTTCACTGATCCTCTTCTTCCCTCTATCTAGTGTTATTAAAATCATTCAGCATAGCCATAATTCAACAGGCACCAGAACACTTATCTTCTAACAAAACTCCACTCATTCTGACTCTATAGATACAATTTTTGTGAACTAGTTCCTACATGGGAATAGTTCCATCTAGAAAAAAAATTGCACACTATCATGTGCAATTGGCCTGTTTGTTTTGCTGCAATTACAAGTTTGGGGAAGCAGCACTGGCTTCCAAACCCAGGTTTTTGAAGCAAAATAAATACATCCATTTCGCCCATAATGATGTATTGATCTTCCCTTACATGGATATTATCTTCATGATGAAAAAATAACATGTGCAAAATAGGCCTAGAATGTTAATTTTCAGTTTTCTAGCATTGTTTGTGTTTGCCAGGCCTCGTGAAAGCAAGACTGAACATAAAACTAAGAGAAATTGATTTAAGTTCTAAGAGATGCCAAGAAAAATAATTGCTGATGTTCTTAGCAATTATGATAGGCATATAATTCTTTTGTTTCCTTTCTTGTTTCTGGCTTTCAACAAGTACTCATTTCCTTGCAGCTATATACCTTTATGCACACACAGAGAGAATCCTAATCTCATTATCCGATGTGCTTTAATGTTAATGTTTTATTAGCAATGGAAGCTAGTCTTCCTGGACAGTTATGTTTTGGGAGTGCAGTTCAACATCTTGGATATTATCCTAAGGAGTCCCATAGGTACTTTTTTGCTTCTCAAAATACTTATCCGCTACGTGAAATTGAAAGGGAAGGTGATCTGAGGATAGAAACGTCTGGTCTTAAGTGAATAATGGTCCTGCCTCAAATCCTGCAATGCAGTCAATTTTCAGAAGCTCAGTTCAGGCTGCATGGCGTTGCGGATGGGAAGTGTGGGGGGAGTGAAAGGAAGAGATTGGATAGATCAGGGATGGGGAATATTTCTGAATTTATATCAGCCATATTGAGTAGGACCAGGACCTCTGTTTTAGGCTGTCATACCACATTGCAGGAAATACACAGGCTATATTCATAAAACAAATGTTGTTGTGGTTTGCTGGTTTTCACTTCATATAGGCTTTGGCTTAACAAGATATTTGAACTCAGTCAGTTATGATTTACTGTGGTTAAGCAATCCATGTCTTAGCACAGTAAATAACTTAAGCCTCCACCTGGAAATACTCTGGATCCCCCACCTTCACCTGTAATAGCTATGAGCTATTAAGTATTTTTTACCACCCAAAGTTTTTCTCACAGTTCTGGGAAAAAGAGATTTAGGCACTGTGATAAAAGTAAAGCTGCGCTCAAGCCAAACTGAACTCCTGACTGTTAATGTCATGTAGTTTCCCCTGGCAAAAAAAATTGCAGAAGTAGTTTACCATTGCCTTTTCCTTTTTTCACTCCTCAGTCTTGCTTACAACTAGGGGATTTTCCTAGTGGGGGCCCATGCAAGTACTAGCCTGCATGGTCTGACTCTTTTTAAGTTTTTAAAGATCGGTCAGAGTTGTATAGCCTCTTGAATACCTGCTATTAATATCTGTGCTGTATTTTATGTAAGGCTGACGCAGCTTGTCAGCTGACCAGAATGCAACAGTGATTTCAGTGGGGCTTTACTCTAGATATTAACCAGCATCTATCAGTAACAAAGACCTTCACTCTTTCCAGACAACTTGGTATAATTACTTTGTTCTTGTCTGTAATTTTGAATACAAGCTGGTGAACAAACCACCTGAAAAACTATGTTTTATTTTACTAACCGTAAGGGTATTTCAGCAGCTCATTGCCCGTAGGCTTCACAGGCAGATCCTGCAGAATTTGGGGAATGGACAGCACTGCTAGATTAAAATTCATGCCAGTGCACATCCTTGAAGTGGCATCCGATCCTGGCAACAGAACTAGCTGCCTTATCAAGCCCTGAAAAGAGAGGAAGAAAAACTAGGGAATCAAATATCAAAAGCTCTTCTAGGGACAATAGTTGGTGATTTTCCACAGAGGAGGAGGAGGAGGAGGAGTATAGCGTTTGTATCAGCCTAGGCCTAGGAGCTACACCTCTGACTTTAAAATCCCATCCCTGTTTCCACATGTGTGAGACCATGAGAGAAAAATATTTTTGATGCATTAAGAGGTACTATCTTTCTGTTGCTTCATGTGCTTAAAAACAGAGACCAGCCTCTCAAAACAAAATTCAAGGCTGGGTTAACAAGCTGCATTGCTAAACCTTTTATAAAAATCACATCTTTTGTTTGCATTGGCCTTTGTTTGGGGCTTTGATCAAAGGACTTGCTTCTTGTCATTATGAGTAATGGGTCACCTACCAGCAATGCTCCTCTGGATACTACACAGGACAAACAAACCAGACCTTGAACAAAAGAATTAATGGAAAGAAAACATTCAACATTCAAAATAAGCACAAAGAAATAACAGAACAAAACAAATTAAGGAAGATGCAACTTCCATAACCTCCAAACATTCTTTTGCAGATCTCAGAATATCCATTTGGTTATAAATAAACCACTGCAGCATAATTGAGCATGTGACAACTGAGTTTAAATATGTAAATAGGTTTTAGGTTATCTAAGAATGTCTGAACAAACACAGTGGCTTTAACATATTACCATTGTTAATTGATAAGGCAATTGTAATCTGTCTCTCATCTGCATCACCATCCTTTCTCCCTCTAATTTTCCCCACTGGCCTCAACATATGTTATATCAATTAAGCTAATCCATGCATCTGATGAATGAGCTGCAGCTCACAAAAGCTTATATTTTACATTTGTTAGTCTCAAAAGCTGCTACAGACTTTTCTGATTTATGGGTAATAGGTAAACCAATGTAATAGAAGAGAGACAATTATTATCCTTTGAGGCTTAACTCAGAAATCACTGAGAACCTTATCCTGGACTAACATTGTATTAGCAAGATAGCAGCTTCAGGGTTGCACATTTATTATGATATAGAATTGCTTGAACTGATAATTGATTTCCTGCATCAGCTGAGGGCAGATGTTTTGGTCTCTTTCAATTAAATAATCCAGTGTAAATTAAATTAACAAAAAGGTTTAGTTTCAGGGTCCCTACCTTTTCAAGTATAATCCAGAGCACCCTAACAACAGGTTAAATATGATCCTGGCTGTCCCCCACCAATTATACACCCCTAGTCAGGAATGATAGTTAAGAGCCATTGTAGCATAGTGGTTAGACTTCAATATTGCAGGCTAGTTATACTGATTGCTGGCAGTTCGATTTTCACGGACTCAAGGTTGACTCAGCCTTCTATCCTTCCGAGGTTGGTAAAATGAGGACACAGATTGTTGGGGGCAATAAGGCAGTGAACACATCCAGTACGCTTTCCTCCTCCTATTTTCCCCACAACAATCCTGTGAGGTGAGTTGGGCTGAGAGAGAGTGACTGGCCCAAGGTCACCCAGCTGGATTTCATGACCTTATGAGCCACCCTGGGAATTTTATTAAGCTTTATTAGGTTTTAAAGGAATAATGAAGTATCTAAGGAGAACTGAAATTCCATAGTTCCACCATGTTTTATATCTGTGTTTCCTTCTAATCTCAGATGCATTGCTTTGAGATGTCTATAGGCAATATTTGCAGTGATATTTCAGTATTTGGGTGACTCCCCATTGCTTTTGTATGCTTATCATCAAATCCCATCTTGTATTCCCTTTGACCATTTTTACACCATCCTCCCTAAACTTAAGCTTATCTTGGACCAAATAAGTTTAGCAGAAGAAATAAGTTTATCTTTTGCTCAGTCATGCCTCCCATTGCTAATCAGAGAAGATGCTATATTATTTGTTGCAACATCTGTTCAAAATGTTTGTTGCTGACTCATCTGAAAAAAGGCAAAAAAGAAATCACCAGCAATCCATAATAGAAGAGAAGGCATTCTGTCTTAAGTAACTGCAATTTATTTGGAAATACGAAGGAAAGTCATAGTGTTCCTATAGGATCATGGTTTGGGTTTTGGGAGGAACAGAGCTTTTCACTTGATCTTGTGCAGAATTTTGCCTACACTGAGAGTTTGATGGTGTCTGAACACTATGTTGGCTATTGCAGAAATTTAAATGCCTATATATAATGTGGGAGGAGAAAGAAGAAGAGATCAGCTTATTTGAACCTGTAGCAAAGTCAGAAAACATTTATTCCTTGGAGCAATGCATTCCCAGAGTTGTTTTAACATGGTGGCCATACAAATGTTTTAAATAAATTAATTAATATGTTACAAAACTAATTGAAATTCTCCAACATTTTTTTTTTCTTACCAGTGTTCACACAGATAAAAGACAACTTGTTTTTCCATAAAGAAAATAATTTTGGATTGATTACCATGGATAGAATGTGATGATGTTACACTGATTTAGTTACTAAATTGTTGTCTATATGTATGTGAGTGAGTGTAATTTCTCATTCTGTAGAATCCTCTCTTTTGTGAATTGTAACCAGCCTTCATTAAATCCCAAGAGAAGACATCATGGAGCAGCTTCACCCACTGGCCTTTCAAAATCAAATTCCAGTAATATGTGGTATAAACAAAATGGAACTACTGGAAACCTTGAAGGAAGCTCCTCTCTAACTTACATCTCACAAAAAAATGCAAGTGAGCATGCTGAAGTGAGTTCAAGAATTTTACATAACAGTTGGAAAAGAAAAACAAACAAAAATGGGGAGTGAGGTAGATTTAAAAAGCTTTATGTGATAATTATGGCTAGTTGGAACACTAAATACACTGTATTTCATCCTGATTTTTATTTCCAAACTTATCCTGGGAACTATATTTTAATAGAGGGATGTGAACACCTAACAATTCCATGGATTCTCATTGAACATCAACTGTCCAGATTCTCTGTGGAGAAGCTTTGGCAGAAAAACATATGAAATTAAAATAAACGGATAGGGGAAAATGCAACCCAAATATAATAAGCAGAGGTAACTTAAGTAATTAGAATAGCCTCTTCAGAACAATGAACATTAGAAGTTATACTCACAGTAAAGAAACCTTTTCTTCTCCTTCTGTTTCCTATATAAAATCGAGTTCCTCTCATAGTCAAGAATGTTGGAAAAGCAGTATCTGCAATCCTAAAATAAGTGAAAAAAGGAAGCTAACTATGAAATCAAATACAGGATGAAAGCATTCTGATTTAAAGGTCATTTTTGGCTCAATTTCCTAGCATTAAATTTAGTCTTCTCTCTTTCTGATTCTCTCTACAATTGTTTCAAAGCTCATATGAAATGTACATTTCATAATGTATTCATTTTTATATTTGCTTGTTTAAATATATATAATTTCATACAGAATGCATTTTGTGATCATTGTTATTGTTGCATGCACTGAACTCACAAAATTGAGAAATCTGTGATAATATCATAACTAGCACAGTAATTCATATGTATGTATGGGAACTGTCAGGCAATTTGCATTTAATTGCCAATCAAACTAATTTTCTCCTCCTAGAGAGCTTCCAGTTGTGTGGGACAATTCTACAAAAGTGTCCATGCCTACTCAGTGGCATATTATGTTTTTAATTTTTTTGTTTGCATCCTTTGAAAATCCTGACCCGACTAGACAACAATTATAGTTAATGTACTTTGCATAACATGATGCTTGTAATTCAGGGTATTAAGGATTAAGATTATTTGGGTAGTACTCACATATTCATATGGATTTTGCCTTGCTTAAAAATGTTCCTGTGCTATGAATGAAATTGATATGTGTTATCAGTGCTCCTTGATTACTCTAACAGAATTATGACACCTATATCTCACATCATGGTTACTACCATATTTGCAACTGCATTTTCTAGATTATAAAGCATTGGGACGCTTCTTTGGGATATATGGGGATCTGTGGGGAAGAACCTGTGTTACTTAGGTGAGAAAGTAGGTCTCTCAGAGAAATCAACACGAACCAAATGGAACACCCAGCTGGGGTGTGCCAATCCCTTGCAGCCCTCACTCAGGGGTGGTGGTTATGGTTAAATTACCCCTGAATTGTAGGTGCTTCACGTACACATCTATGGGGATGCTGCAGTCCACAGTGAGAGAGAAGGAGCCTTGAGAAACTGCCAATACAAGCGTATGCCACTGGTTGTCCGCCAAAAAGACATCCCGAAAAGTAATTTGTGTCTGCCAACCATTCAAAAGGTCTCTGCTCCAGAAGAGAAAGTGCAGTTTACTCTGTGAATATCGGAGTCCAAGTTGCAGTGTGTCACTATTTTCATCCAAAACTGCAAAGATGTATTCATTTCTCTGAAAACATAGTTAATGAAACCAGTTAGCCTGAAAGGCATTATAATAGCTTTGGCATAGTTAGAATACGGTAAAGCTGCATTGACTCTGGACTCAGAGGATTAAAAAATATAACAATTATTGTGACATTTGTTAAATACTGTGTGTACATATGACAGGCCCTGATGCAATTTACTGGAATTCCAGTTGTACATATGCACACTCATGGCCATTTTTACTCCTTTTTATTCACACAAATCTTCCTAATATATCATAATTTGGATGAAGAATATTGGGGCCTGAGTTGACTTTTCTAGTTAGTTGACCTAAAGGGAATTGGGGAGTTCTCTACATAGGTGTCCCTATGTACTACTATTACTAACCATGATGATCAAAGATTTATATACATTTCATCATGAAGCCTCACTTAATATCCTCTCCCTGGAGACTTTCTGGCATAATACAAAACAGCGTCTCAGTGACGTGGGTATACATTCTAATGATTAAGAAACATGTAGGATCAAGGCTGAGGATTTGATCAGCACCAGAGCAGATGTGGATCCAAGTCTCTCAGTTTACCTACATTATACTAAACAGTATTCTTAACCTTAGCAACTTTAAGATGTGTGAACCAACTTCAACCTGGGATATTCTGGGAGTTCAAGTTCATGGATCTTAAAATTGCTACGGTTGACATTGAACTAGAATAACAACTACTGTATTCCACTTTCCCTTCTTTTGTGGCTCCTGTTATTCCTAAATAAATCTGAGGATTTACTTAGAAATAAGACTCATTGACTCAGTTGAGGTTCATGTATAAATAAAGATTAATTTGGGATTAATCCTTAATTAATTTTGCTTCCTATAGTTTCACAGCCCATAAAAGAAAAGTCACTTTCAAACCTCAGGATGTTTTTCCAAGTTCTGTGTTCTCAAAGGGATGCAATTTTTTAAAATTAAGTTCAATCAATAAACACATATATCTTGTCATCTATGACTAATATGTATCTCTGCCTAAAGCCCTGAATATTAAATTTTATAGGCTGCGGCATAATTTTGATTTAATAATATACAGGTACTATCAAGCATTTGAGTCTACTTTCATCCAAGCAAACATGCTTAAAGGTGTTCTTGTCACTGTTATTATGACAGATTTAATTACCCGAGAGATTTTGTGAAGCTTGCTAAAGTAATGAGGTTATAACATCCAGAATTATAAATCAAATATACCAATACTACAGCAATCTTAACTTTAAATAAATAAACATTGTGCTTCTGGATAAAATCTTACCCTGAATTGCATGTGGGAAGTTTTTATAGTAAACACAATGGAGAATTCCTCTGGGAATAAGTCACAGTAAATGAAAATCCGTGATGCTGGAAAACTGAGGAAGCGAGGGTTTGTTGCAGAAAGCTGAAAGCCACGTGCTCCTTGGATTTGGATCATTCGTATTCCACTTTTCACCCAATTCAGGGGAACCACTTCAGAGAGAAGATCCAAAGGACGCAAGTCTATCCCAAAGAAAGCACCAAGTTAAATTATTGAAATTATGGGAAGACAATAGGTTATTTTAAAAAAGCAACAAAACATCTTCTAGATGAGTCAAACGGTGAGAAGGACTGATCAGCTATCAGCAAGGAGGAAGCAAAAATGTCAAGTTTGATAAGTGAAATATAATTACAAGTGGTATAAGGCTGTAAGTGGACCAACAAATCTTACTTTTTTCCCTTGTTTATGGCGGACAGACGGACAGTCGGATGGATGGAAGAGAGGGGTGCTGATGTGAGTACAGACATGCTATATTGAACAAAATAGGGATATTTTCTAATTTGAGCATACATCACAACTTTAAGGCATCCCTTAATTTAGAATTTTTTTTATTTGGCAACTTTAGCCTCATCCTGGCACAAAACATTACACCTGAGATGTGATATTGCAAAATACTTTCTAATTTCTGAATATCCCAAAGCATTATTTGGAGAAACAAATATTTCAGTAGATCCATAAAATTTAATACTTGCTATTGATTACATTAATTTAATAGATTGTCCAAAATAAGCTCTGAAATGAAAGCACTGGTTTTCTCCTTATTATATAATAGAATTATTTGTTTGTGTATTTATTTGTTTTCAGCTCTTATATACCACTCCAGTCTAGCAGGATTCTTATAATTCTTTCTTGCGGTAAAAGAACTAAAAGACTAATAAAATAATTAACTAGAGTGAGAAATAACAATAACAAATGTTACTAAGAAAGAAACTAAGGTCATTGAAAATAAAAACATTCAAACACAATTCACACTGGGGTTATATTGCATCCCTTCACAGAGCTTTCTTTAAAAGATGGGTTTTAACTCTCCCAACAGCCTAGCTGTTTCTGCTATGGCTATATAGATTTTGGCCAATACATGCAAATATTTCCAAATGTTATACTAAATAATTCCCAAACTTTATTCATAGAATGTCATGAAGAATCATACGGGGAGAAGGAGAGAGGAAGCTAAATAGGCTTACAGTTACATTAAAGTCACATTGACAAAAAACATCTGGAGAGTGCAGACAACATGTGAAGTTCATCTGCAGTGTTTCCAACAAATCCTGCACAAAACATACTAGGAGGTCTTTCAGAGAAAGGAACAGTCCTGGTACACATACAAGTTGAACACATGATTACACAACCCGGGAGTGGTGTTGATGTTTTGGTATCTTTTTTTGCCAGCATTGTTGTATCCAGGGGGCAGGAAAATGCTAGTTCAAGGCAGCAAATGCCACCTCAAAAATTATTTGAAGGAACAGCCTGTACTGTCACTGGAGGAGGTTTTTGATTTGCCTTTGGAGAGTCTATCAGAACAGTCTGTGGACATAATTAGGTAAAGGACCACAAATGGAAAAGTGGCAATATTGGTAGCATTAGGAGTTCTGAAGCCAACAGAAGTGCTCATCCTAAAATATGGGGAAACATTAACATTTATCCATTATTTTTGTGAAGAGAGGAAAGTGGTGAATGTTTAGACATCAGCCTCAATGGCTGTAAGGCTGAAATTTGTATATGATCTGAAGAGAAACCAGAATATTGCAAAACATTCAGATATTGATTGGCTAGCAAACACTAGTTGGTGAGAGTTTTGGTTTGAAGCCGTTGTCTAAAAAGGCAAATGATTGCTGGATAGATTTTGGCAATTTGGTATACCCACAATCATATAAATGTGCACATTCATAATGTCCTAGAATCTGGAATGGATTTGCAGCTCAAATAAATTTAAGGTACATTTTAAATTGGCTACAGATATGGAAGATTTACTGTATCATAAGATTTGGGCTTATTTAGTACCTACCTTTAGATTTCTTCCCTTATTTATTATTGATTACACTTGGAATACTGCATCCAGTTTTGGTCACCGCATTACAAAAAAGATGTTGAGACTTTGGAAAAAGTGCAAAGAAGATGATTAAGGGCCTGGAGATAAAAACACATGAAGAATGGTTGCAAGAGTTGGGTATGTCCAGTTTAGAAAAAAGAAGGACTAGGGATGACATGATAGCAGTATTCCAGTATTTGAGGGGCTGCCACAAAGAAGAGGGAGTCAACGTATTTTCCAATGCACCATAAGGCAAGACAAAAAACAATGGATAGAAACTAATGAAGGAGAGAAGCAACCTGGAATTAACGAGAAACTTCTTAACAGTGAGATAATTAACCAGTGGAACAGCTTGCCTTCAGAAGTTGCAGGTGCTTCATCACTAGAAGTTTTTAAGAAGAGACTGGACAACCTATCTGAAATGGTATAGGGTGTCCTGCTTGAGCAGGGGGTTGGACTAGAAGACCGCCAAACTCTATTCTGATTGATTGAAATTGAAATCATACCAGGATTTGGTGTGATATGTGAGTGTAGTCTTGTTCGGCCATAACACTATGTTTATGACTTTCATGCTGTATAATTACTACTTCTTTTAAAGCCTCAGTTTCAATTAATTACTATGCATTGCCTATACAGCCAAAAAGGAAAGCATAATCCTAAACCATTGTAGTAGCAACATCCCCAATAAAGCTTAATTATTTAATCCTTATGATGAAATTAAGGTCAGTTTGCATTAGCCCAGTAACAACTGGAAATGCTAAGCTTTGAACAAAAGTATGTATTATGGAATAAAAGTGTTTCGTTATATATAAGTATGGAAGAGATGAAGCAAAATTGTGAATTTCTCATCTCCTTGTTATCCTTGTTTGGCAACTATCTTCTTTAAATTTTAGAGCACTCTTGTTTAACTTGGCACCCTTCTGAAGTGGCTTTTGATCCTCACTGCTTTGAGTCTGCTTTGAATATTTTGAGGAGAGGTGCTCAGTCACTGTTTCTTCCCATTACATAGAGAGAAGCCTGCAACCATAAAAGTATGAGAACTTTTAATTGAAACACCAAAGCTGGATGCAAGTGTATAGCACTACGATTTCTCAAACATGGGTAGATAATAAAAAAATGGGTAATTTTTTTTCTTTGGGTAATGACACACAAACTAACCACAACAGGGGCATTTAAATAAGGGCTTTCTCATAAGCAGTTTGGAAACCAGTGATATATACAATACAATACCACAGTAGAAATTTGTCCTTCTATTTTCTGCAATTATTTATTACTTTCAGATTTGCAGTTTTGATTTCTATAACAAATCGAAAGACAACCTGTCTGGAGCAAATTGGGACTACTCTTTGCTCTTTTGCATTTTGAAAATTGCATTCATATTGATAGTTAGAATAAATGGGATAGATTGGGACAGATTGGGCAGAGGTCAGGGCCATGTTGAAATATGTTATGTATTCATTTCCTGCCATTCCTTCTAGAACAGCTTGAAGGAAATCAGTTGTACAGAGAGGGATTCAGTTGAATTCTGTATGTGTTATGCTAAGTGAACAGCTATGAAAGGCTATATGCCAGTGATGGCGAACCTTTTAGAGACCGAGTGCCCAAACTGCAACCAAAAACCCACTTATTTATCGCCGGGTGCCAGGTGGGCATGGCCCACTGAGTAGGCGTGGCTGTGGTGGTCATGGCAGATTGGGTTGGTGTGGTCAAAGTGGGTGTGATCACCTTGATGTTGCTTGTGGGGAGGGATGCCTGTGGGGGCCAGGCAGGGTTGGGGGAGATCCAGGGGGTCTCTGGCAGGTGGGGTGGTGGGCAGGAGGCTCATCCTGCAGGGTGAGGTGAGGAAGGCGGGGGTGCCATTGTCACAGGGCAAGGTGAGACGGGCCGGGCGGCTGCTGCCTGACACCATCGGCCCCTGCACACAGAGGCCAGCGAGCGCATGGGTGCTGGGTTGCATCTGGCCATGTGGGACCTCAGCGAGTTAGCAGGCGGCTGGTTGAAGAGGGACGGTTACCATCTCTGGGGAATGGCACGTGTGCCCACAGAGAGGGCTCTGAGTGCCGCCTCTGGCACGCGTACCATAGGTTCGCCACCACTGCTATATGCAGTTATGCCAAGTGAACAACTAAACCTCACATTACCATGGTTCTTATGATCTGGAAGGCCTGACCTGAAAAGTGCCACTATCCATTTTGTTTTGCAGTCAAACTGATTCACTTGGACACTTGTTCTGTATCTCAAGAACAAGAACCTGCTTATGGTTCTTACACAAATTTTCATACAGTGCAGGTTTAGTACCAGTTCTCATTCTTGTAAGGAAATTAATGTCTTTTATTCTGATTTCATTTATTTCATGGATTGTACGAGCACATCTTGTAGAACAGCCTTATATGAATGGAGGACACTTTCTACATGTAAAATAACTTTTTCATGTTTTTATAAATACTTTATAGTTTTGATTTCTGTGAATGGTAATTTCTCTTAATCACTCTAACTAGAAAGTTATGGGAACTCTGATCCCAAAGAAATTGGAAAAGGTTGAAATAAATTATTTAAAATAGGTCTGTGCAAAGCATTCAAAAGCATGTTAGCATTAATATTATATATTATTAAATAGAGTAATGCATTAATTATGCATGCACCCAGGCACATAGCCTACTGTTCCAAAGGACATGACTGCTTTAACAATTAAAATAGAATATTTCAAGTATTAAAGCAGTCATGTCCTTTGGAACTGTAAGCTATGTGTCTGGGTGCATCAATAATTCCAGCACAAGTTTTGCCTGTGCATGCACACATATATGTGAAGTTTCCTGTGAAACAATCATATAAACATTCCAAGGAACACAGCAGTTTTAACATATCCAGAATGGTGTTTTGCTCACTAACACAACGTAAGAAGCACTGTTTTAATACAAATATAATAACTATATCCTCAAGATTATAGTGTTCACTGCACTGCACTAGAAAAGTGAAAGAATCTGTGCCCTCCCCATTTCACGACTTTCCTAGCCATGTTCTTTCAAAACCAAGGTAATTTGTGTTGAGTGCATTGAGAATATTATGGTCTAAACCAAAAATTTCTGAAGGGGAAAACATAAACATTTAAATTAGCTAAATAAAATCATTTTGTGCTGGAAAATTGGTTTCATTGTTCTTGGTCCTGGGCATTAAGTTCCTTCCTAACCAACCAAAGCATTCAGTTCACCATGAAAACAATGACTGTGGTAGGTTATCTCAAAGACTTTGCCCACCACTGTTGTTTGTGGCTTTAAGACTGATTCCTCGGCAATGGAGGAGCAGCTCTTTCTCATAATAATGTAAAATAAAAGGCAAAGCAATTTTTTTCAGTGCACCTCCCATATTACAGAGATTTCCTTAATAATTGAAGCCAACCAAGGATTATGCAGAATTTCATGAACAATTACAGAAGAACAGCTGAGATATCTGAGAGAAAGTTTGGCACTTATGCTGTGAAAAATCTGGCTAGGACCCTCTTTCCCTTTTCACAGAGGATGTTCACTTTATACAGATCAAGGGAATGCTTGGGGCAGCATTTTCAAAAGTTCTCAACTTACAGAAGATTCAAAAAATCTTTTTGCAAAGCAAATGAGATTGTGTCTCCAAAAATGGCTTTCCTGAATACTAAATAAGATAAAATGAGGAGGAGGTAAAATTGCCTTCCAGCTTACTTTTAAAAAACCAGTGGACATATCATGTTTTATGTGTAAAAGCTTATATAATCTTCCTCATAACAGTCTCTATCTCAACTCCTGTTTAAACAGGACTCAGAATACATTGTATTGCTATACATCAATGTTTTTCAACCCCAGCAACTATATGGATTTTAATTCCCAGAATTCCCCAGGCAGGGCTGGCTGAAGAATTCTGTAAATTAAAATCTATACATCCTTAAATTATTGAGGTTGAGAAACAATGCTGGACATGAAGGTTTGGGGGCATACCCAATACCCATACCTTATGCTAAAGCAAGGGAACAGTGATGAGGATCGTTAGAAATCATATTAATGGTATCCACTAGTGCAGCCTTCCCCAAAATGGATACCTTGAGATGTGTCAAACTACAATTTGCATTACCCACAGCCAGTTCCATCATAGCTGGGGAAGGAAATCATAATCCAGCATATAAAATCATAGAATCACAAAACTGGAAAGATCATCAAGTCCAATCCTCTGCTCAGATTAAACCATTCCCATCAGGTTGTTATGTATCTACACATAAAAATATATTCTAAAGAGATGCTCCTCATTTCCCCTTGCTAATTGGTTCTACTGTCAAAATACTTCTTCTCATAGAAAGCATTTGCTGATGTTTGCCCAAAATCTGTTTTCCTTAATACTGTTAGTTGGTGGGTGGATATATAGTGCTTTGGAACAATAGAAAGTAGGACTTGACTTTCTTCTTAGGAATGCCCTCTAAGTGCTTGCAAAGAGCTGTCATATCTCTTCTAAGATGTATTTTTTTTCAAGGCTATCCAGTTCCCTTGGTCTCTCTACATAACACATAGTTTCCAGATCTGATCTCATTGTTGTTCTTCTCTGTATTTGTTTCTGTTTCTCAGTATCTTTCTTAAATGGTGGTGCCAGAACTGGTCCATTATTTGAGGTGGTCTGACTAGAACAGAATAATGTGGAATGATTATTTCCTTGATTTGCAAGCAATATTTCTCTCAATGAATTTAAAATTCATTTGTCATTTAGTTGATTCATATTCAGTCAGTGATCGACTACATTTCCAAAATCCTTTTCATCTGGCCTCTTACCAAGCCTGAGAGCTCTCATTTAGCATTATGAATTAATTTCTTTTTCCTAAGAACTTTCAGTCCACTTCTCTAGTTTTAGCTAATCCCTACAATTTTGTATCATCTGTGACTATTACAAGCATTACTGCTACATCCAGCCAAGTCATTGATGAAAATGTTGAAGGGTGTCAGGCCAAGCATACATAGAACCTCATTTGATACCTAATTTAAAGAGAAACTAGGCTACAAGTGAGTATCGTTTGAGTACCATTTTCAAGCTATTTTTAAATTCACCTAATCAGTATGCCACATAGTACCTAAGGCTTGCCTGGAGCTCACAATGTCCCAGTTTGTAGCCTGATAATTAACCACCACACCAAAAAGGATCTACTACCACATGCATAACCAGCTTGCTAATCAATATCATGATATTCTTGTGAACTGCTGAAGTCAAAATATATGTCAGGAGGACACTCATTTGGGAAAGGTTAAAATAGGAAATTCCAATCATGCTATCTCTCCTGTTATGTCACTCTGTTCATAACTGTTGTTTACTTCTGTTCCTTGTTCTTTCTCTGTGTTTGAGCAACCAATACAAATTTATACTACTTACTTTCCAACTTTTCATTTTTGAATTAACCACTTCAGTTCAAACACCTAATTTGCTTTGTTTTGATTCAACAGTCACCTGTTGCTGATTTTTCTGGGCAAGTTGTAAAGTAGCACATAGTTCCATTCATTATTGTAAGATTCTTTATTCATATTAAGATATATTTACCTAATCGCTTATCTATTAGCATATTTTGAATTATGCTAATCCACCTTTTTTAGCAAATCACAAATTCATTAACACCCAAATTAAAGACACTGGGATTCTAAAATATCTGGGTTCCCATATGAACTGTATAAAAATGTTTACAAAAAGCACATGAACAAAGGAGAGGATGTGCTAATCTAAGCTATTTCATTTTAATCTCGCTGGTATGCTGATACACAACTAATCATTGCAAGGGAATCTGTAGAAAGATAGTGATTGAGGCACTCAGTTGGTGTGCTAAAGGAATTCTGCAGAATATTAGGGAGAATTAGCATTTCATACTATTTATAACACAATATACCAACATGCCAGCTATTAAGTCCCTGGGTAGCTGATACGGTCTCTCAAAACAGAGGCAATACTGCAGAAACATTATTCTCTTAATAAGGATTCAGTGCTGCTGCCAGATGTAGACAAACTGGTTCATTTCTCCTGCTGAGTATGTTTAATTCTTTAAAATTAAGCTTCTGAACATATTAGCAAACCATAGGGAGCTGCATTGAGAAGACCTTTGTAATAGTGAGCAGACCATGACTTCAGAAATGTTATTCAAAGCATTACTTGAGTATGCAGACTTTCTATATAACCATGATTAATAATATTGTTACTCACTGCAACAATTTCAATACTGGAGGGGATTCAATTATATATTCTCAAAGGAACTACTTTGTTGTAAAATATTGAATTTATTTTATGAATAATTAAAAGCATTGATTTTTGCCCACAGATCTTTTATATATTTCCTCCATATTATGCAGACCATAGTTGACTGTATGTCAAAAGTTCTCGCTAAGTATTAATGACATCAAAAGAGATCAGAAACACAACACATTGATGTTTGCCTATTTATGTCCTACATTAATTTCTTCTTCTTTAGAAAGTCAAGAAAATCAAGAACAGAAATAAGAATAAATTTAAAAAGCTAGTAAACTGACATTTTCTGACATAAATTGTGGCTAAAAGAGGGAACTGAGAAGTTCTAATAAGAATTATATATGAGATGACATTATCAGTTCAATATTGTTTATTATAATAAGTCTGATGGCAGATTTAGTTTCATCAGTTAGTCAAGGTAAGTTGATATCACATTGAATTAAGTGGATCTACTCTAAATATAAAGTAAATAAATAAAGTTTAACCCTAATCTGTATTTCTATTTCACTTATGGGGTTGTTGTTTTTTTTACTTGCCATGTCCTGCATGTTTAATATTTCACCTTTGATTTAATACATTCACACAGAGGGATACAGATCTTTAAAAAGCTGATAATTTATTCTCCATCTTAAAAATGGGGATAGCACAAATGATAAAGTGTTTCATGGTTATTTCATAAGCTTCCAGTTATATTACAGCATCAGACTGATTGGTAAGAGAGAAAATACTGATGATCACTCAGGTTACGTTCAAGTCTAAATTAGAACCCTAAAGAAGTCTGAAATTACCACCACACAAAATCCATTCGTAGGAAGGGGTAAAATATGAAATTAGTATACTGATGTATTATTGTACATTAGTGCTACAGTCTAATATTTATGTTTGCATTAGAGAAAAGATTTCTGGCTTAAAAGATCATCTTTATGATAAGGAGATTCTTTCTCTCACCTTTTCCCTGGATGCATTTTAAATAGCTACAGATTTCAACTGTGATCATGACATAGTTAATAGTAACTATGACCTCAAGAAATAAATATCCAGGAGTGATAAGCAGACAATTATTTGAAACATTTAGGAGAAGATCTAGCAAAAGGGTGAAATCAAGTTGAGGCTGCGTATCTTTAAAGATTGCTCCAGCATTATAATATTATTATTGTTCGAATTTATATCCCGCCCTTCTCCTTGCGGACTCAGGGCGGGATATAAATATAAAGTACAAATCATGTTTTGCTGTAACAATGCAATACAATACACTACTTTTTAAGATTATTTTAAATACACTACTTGTCTATATATCTTAGAGTAAGAGCTTCAGGTATGGAGGATTCTTACTTATTAAAGGTTTTATTGTAGGAATAATGTAAAGTTTACTGAATAATGTAATTTGGCTTTTTACACTGTTTTTTATCTTGGGTCAGTTATAAGGTGACCGACTGAACACGGGATTCTGTTACGTGAATCATAAAAATTAGAGAAGCAAAATGACATTTGTCCAAAATCATAGGCAGAGTAAAAAAAAAAAAATCAGTTGTTATTCATCACTGGAATTTTGTTACATAAAACCTATTTTTAATTTCAAAGACAAGTAAAATGCTTTGCAGTTGAATTTCGAGAGCAACTGAATCTATACTTATTTCTGTGATATGAATTTAGATAACTGTTACTGGTTGTCCAAACTGATTCTGAGGATTTCGTTTTTTATTGTGAAGACATCAAAAGCAATTGTTCAAAATTGTTTACAGACCAGTGTGAGAACTTGGGTAAAATTCAAGAGAAATGCAGGACGGGCTTTAGAAGTGAATTTACATAGGAGAGCAGTGGAGATTTATGTTAGCAAAAAAAAAACCCAAGAGCCTTGTAGCACCTTTTCCAACTAACAATTTTTTTTATTAAAAGACATAGATTTCTGAGCTATACCTCACCAAAGCTTATGCCTTTTAATAAAATTCATCAATTGGGAAAAGTGCCGCCAGAAGTCTGAAAAGGAGTAAGTATTAAAGTTTTCAGTGAATCATATTTATGTAATTAGGGCTGAATTCAAATCCTAGACTATGAACTCTGCATTCTTGTTTACGTCTGCAAAAAGAAAAACAGCTATAATGGTGTTTTTAACTTGGATTAATAACCCAAAAGAGCAGAAACAAAGAAAACTGAGCTTCTAAATTAAGATTACTTTCTATGCAATAAAATTTCTCTCCAGATGTTTTATATTTTAGAAATTAATGTAACTTTCTTCTGCAGATATTAATGCGTAATAATATTTTAAAAATCTCTTTAGGTTTTTAGGTGTGTGCTTAAAAATTGTAGAGCTGTCCTTCCCCATCTATTCAGAAAGTAAAATGTTCATATTCCTTATTTATAATAACCTAGTTATGTGCTATGCATTAATACCTAATATGAATTACCTTCTGAACAGGAATTTTGTAACATGTGAACTAACAGTGCCTACAAAAATGTGTATTTAATATCTGGATTGGAAGCAAAATCTCAGAAGAAATTATTTAAAAGGGAGGAGAAGGAGGAAAGATTAAAACGCCAGCAGGAGGAGAACCTCAAACAAATGCTAATTATTAATGCAATAAAATTGCCCAACATGTTTTAACAAACATTTTCATTAGAGGTGAAAACTATGGGGGTCTTCTTTGCATATGCAATTAATTATGTATTAATTGATATAATATATGGTTCTACAGGATGAGATTTTGAAAGGAAAGGAAAGCTTTCAAGTAAAAGCCAGTTCAGTATCGCTGTTATCAATATGGCTAAAAACAGGATAAACTTCAATAGCCACATGTATGAATAGACTCAAGCTTTTCTACTTCCAGTAATGCAGATTTGAAAATAAAGCTGCTTGAGCAAAAAATGAAAAAGAGAGCAATTTTTTTTTCTTTGAAAATACTAAGAATGTTTTCCACCAATGGCATTTCTGTATGTTTATTAATTTAGACCTAAGCACAATACAAGGATAAAGTCTTACTGAATACAGCAAGGTTTATTTCTAAGTCAACACTGGGCATTGGACTGCACTACACTTTTCTTGAACTGAAATTGCTCATTAAAATGAATAGCTGTAGGAACAATGAAATCTCAGAAGATTCATCAAAAGAACACTCAATAGTTAGATAACACCACTAAATGTAAAGATCAACTAACATCTGACTCAGCCAATCCAGTAGTAGCATTTCCCCCTACTCAATAAGAATCTCTTTATCTTGTTCAGCTCAAATAAAATCTGACCTTGAAGACTTCTGGAGTGCAATGATTTATGAATTATGCATGAATTGTGCATGTGTTCCAACTAAACTCAACTCAGCAAGGCAAATCACTTCACTTCTATCTGCCCTTTAATCAACCAGTCACCAAACCAGGAGACATACCTATAGTGTCTATATCATCCTGTTTTCCTAGATAAAGAGATCAAAGCTTATAGATTAGACATACATGGAATTGCTACATTTGTATGCAGTGAGCTTTACAGCCTGACCTTGTTTTTAGCTTTAGAAAGCAACTGTTTTTTTTTAGAGAATAATGGACTGTGGCCATTCCTTCCACTTGTTTTGCAAAGGAGCAAAATGT